CATTGCATTAGAAGCTTTGTGTGTTTTATTCATACTAATACAAAATGATAACAACTACAAACTCAAGAATGAACATAAAAATTGACAACCTTTTTCACGGAAAATAWTATCTAAAAACAATATAGCTGATATTTTATCACAATAGTCAATTACTCCAAAATCTACAATCGATTCAATTAATTACATTTCTTTTGATGTATTGTAATAACTTATAATACATCTCGTTTAACATTACGAGAAACACTAAATTAGCAAATGTTAGACTTTATTTTGACACGTTACTACTCAATACAAATACCTTAAGTATCTAGTCATTGAGCAATAAAAATATCTCAAATGAACAATGATGGCAATATGATAACATAATTTAATGTTGGTGATAAATTTCTAGCTAAAGTTTATAGGAAGAATAATAATAAACAGGAAAGAGATTAAATTATCAAATTGTTTTAGTTACCACATGCATGATATACAAATTAATGACAACAATTAAAGAATAAAGATCAATAACTCATTGATAAATTATTAACACCTCCAAGTTATTCTATTTCACTTACACCCGCTAGAAAAACATTTAAAAGTTCTGAAATCATTCAGACAAATAAACATATACAAATCAAAACCTGAATCCCATTGTAATAAATAAAATGTACAGATATGCAGTTAGATTTAAAACAMTTTCTCAGYGGCTCAGCGATAGCCTTCGAGTAATTATGACTGATGTAATTTATTTAGTTTTAATTTTATAACAATCATTTGTAAGAAATACTAAATTAGCGGTTAATATTATTAAGATTTAATTATACTAACTATATTTAAAGGAATCTGGGACAGAGCTATGGTGTGCTTACCCCATTTCAATTTTGAAATTATCTTCTCCCCCCTCCCGTTCTGAAGTAAAAAATAAAATAATCCGTAATAATAAATAAATAATACACTAGTACTACTAGTCTAGTAGGTATACTCTATTCAGCATAATAATTCCCACTTTCGCGCATGYAACTGAGCCGCCGGCATCCGTCAGACTCCCCTGKMKAGTATCGGYCGCGCTGTGATTGGTCGCTAGTTGTCGACGGCTGCCGTCACCTGTCGACATCGACAGCTGCCGCCGTGTATACATCTGCGGAATGTCGGCGGCGGCGGCGCTGCTGACATCAACGCCAGCTGGTGGCAACAAACATGCGCGAACGAGACGAGTTTTCGTCAAGTGAGTGGGAATTCTTATTCTGAATAGAGTATAGATAACGATAAATAAAACTTTATAAAATCGTAAAGAAATAGTACCACAACAGCTGTTGAACAAGATAATAAATGATTCTYATCCAAAAAACTTCCCAACAATTTCTGTGAAATTAATTGAACATTTATTGGTATATACAAAAGTTATGGATTCTACTTTTTAATGGTGATATCATACCTATAGAAAATTAATATCCACTAAATGTGTTGAAATTAGAAATATACACATTGGATTTAAAATAAATTATAAAATTATTATTATTAACAAAAATTATTAGGTACCTTGAAACGCTCTTCGAACAAAGATAGTTCAGCCAAAAGATCAGTTAATGAGTTGGTTAATGCATCTTGTGGTGTATACTCGGGGCAGCTTGTTTGTATACGAAGTTCAAATTTATGTTCCAGAGGATGGGACAGTTTATACCCGGCAAATAGTACATTGGGGTCTTTAAGTAGTTGGCTATTCAAAACAAAAATAATATATATTAYTATTTATTCAAAACAATAACAATGAAATAATGGTTATTGGTTAATGATTTATGACTAACTTCAGTCGTTATCACTTACTTCCTGATCAAATTTCCCAATGTGTGATCTTCTTTGTTTATAGTGAATATTGCTGCGTTCAAAACTTTTGTGTCCAATTCTTTGACGATTCTAAAAAGATATTATCTTCCTCTACTAAATATATATGTATACATAATAATAATTTAGGAAACTCACTTTTTTTCTCCGTCATACAATAAAAACGATTCAAACTTCGGTGGTGCATTCATTTTTACTGATTATATTTGAAGTGCTGAAACTCAATTTTAGTGCGACTTGCGACTATTAAAGAATCAAAAAMGTGGAMRATTTAGGTTAGCTTAGAGTATATCCGCTGTATGATACAATTATCAGTTGAACGTATTCGTAGCTAGGTTGGCGTAAAAGCGTAAACAAAGAATAAATGATTATCGTACGCAGCGCTACTATTTCAGCGTCCGTGGGTTGAGTCACAGAGAGGGTCGTTGGTAGGGAGAGATTAAGGGTGGAACGGTATAGTGGAATATGAACAGATCGATACACCATCCGTACTATACTGTAAAGTGTTCTGACGTATTATATTATTTAATGGACTACCGAGGAACCGTATTCTCATGTGATTAGCAGTGGTGCCAACTGCCAAATTCTGATAATAGTATCTTATAGCCCGCTAACACTGTTGGCCTTTGTTACGTCTCCTATTTTAATTATTTATATCGAAAAATTACTATTTTTATTTTCCAAGTGTTGGTATATCAAGTTGTGATAGATTTCAAACTTTTGAATTTTCTCCTTTAAATAGGCATTTGTATTTAGAATTTATAAATTATTTTACAAACATCATTAATCCATTATTCTGTTTTTTCTGTAATTAATAACTTTGAGGCAACTGTATACGGGGTGATTTATGAAGTGTACAACACTCATTATTTCCAAAAGTGTAAATGTTTTTGAAAATATAATTTTACATARCTTCAAGTCGTTTACAAAACCATGTTTTTATTAAAAAATTATATTTTTAACATTTTTTTATCCTTATAATTTTTTAAGTTTTTTACTTTTTTGAATGACAACATGTAGTTTTAATTTGATATTCCAAAACAGAATATTTTTCTAAGTATTTCG